GCGATACGGTGAATATCAGAAGTTAACTCTTTACGGGGGCTCAAACTCCTTAACATCTGAGGCCTAAACATCCTCTGAAATGTACCAAACTGTATGAACAAATGAAATCTCACTAAGGTGAATACACGAACGCCACAAGTGCTGAGCCCCTAACCAAGCCTGTAATACCTGAGATGGTTAATTTTATGTCAACTTGACTGGGCTAAGGAATGCCCAAAGAGCTGGTAAAACATAATTTCTGGGTGTGTCTGTGAGGGTGTTTCCAAAAGAGATTAGCACTGGAAGCAGGCACCATCCAGTCTGTTGAGGCCTGGAATAGATCAAAAAGGTGGAGGAAGGGAGAATTCCCTCCTCTCCTTGAGCTGGGACATCCACCTTCCCCTGTTCTTCTCCTGTCCTTGGACATCAAAGCTTCTGGTTCACTTACTTTCAGATCAGACCAGGTCTTGCACCATGGCTCTCCCCAGTTGTGAGGCTTTTGGAGGCAGGCTGATCTACATCACCAGCTTTCCTGGCTCTCCTGCTTGCAGACAATAAATTATGGGACTTCTCTGCCTCCAAAAGCATGCGAACTAATTTCTATAATAAATCTCCCCATATATATCTACATTTTGGTTTTATTTCTCTGAAGAATCTCAACTAATATAAACTCCACACTCTACAAAGTGCCCCAGGCACTCACAGAGTACCCAAGAATGTCACAACCAGCCCGACTGCCATGCTACTGGCTTTAGCATGTCCAGACTCTGCAAGCTGCCTCACTCAGCCCCTTTCTCTCTGAGTTGAACTGAGGACACTCCCACTGGCCTCTGCAGCACTTGGTATGAAGGTGGGTGTGATCTCTATCTCCCACTTGGCCTCTCCCCTGCTGCCACCAATCACAGTGGCCAACATTTTCTATAGAAGTGAAGTTTTGATAGAAGTGCTTCTTAATCAATGTCAAGTAGTTGAGTCTGGGACAAAGATGGCATTTTCTGTATGACCTCCAAGGGACTGCCATCTACACTGAGAAAGCCATCCTGCAGAATGCCAGGTGACCCCCTAGCCCACCCAGCAGGTCCTCTGTTACATTTGCTCAGACAGAGGAGCCTCTCCTCTCTTATTATTAAAGTGAAAAGAATTTTAGAGAAGGTGTCTCTACAATTGTGTCAGAAAAGCCAGTTGCAGTGTTTAACGATCCTTCTTGTTTGGAAGTTTTTCTTCGAGGTCATCTGTAACTCCATGTCTGCCCCTTATCTAAATTCTTTGGTTTGGTTTTAATTCTTTGGTTTCATTCTTTAATTCTTTTCACTACTTTTTTTCTGCAGTAACGGAGACATCAGCTGTCCCCCCTCATCACCATTCATTCATTCATTCACTCATCCAAGCCCATGTGGCTGCTTATCTGTGCCCTACCATGTGTTAAGCATCCATTTTCCCCTAGGATTCAAGGAAAGAAGGACGGTACTCAAGACACAGATCTTTTTGGTGCTCTATAAATTTTTTAAAAGTTTAATTTTTCCTTTCCTTCTTTTTCTCTGCCAATGTCAGATTCTCTGGTTCCTGCATGAGGCTTATGCTGGCCAGAGTCTGGGGACCAGGGTTCATTCTGCAGACTGTCAGGGAGGCCTCCATGACAAGGAGGTTCAGGGGGGTGTGTGGCCCTGTCTGCTCCTCCCCTGCCCGGCTTCCCCTGGCAGGTCACACTGAGTCACTCACAGCCAGGGAACTTTGGTGGCTACTTTTTAAAAAAAAGAAGAGGAAGAGGAAGTAGAAGGTGGTGGCGGTACTGTGTAACTGTGCTGGGGACCTTCGGAAATTCTAATGATCAGGACAGAGCACGGGCCCACTTCCCCTTCTTGCTCAGTGCAGGCTGCCGTGCCTGGGCCAGAGCAGTCTTCCCTGGAAGAGGAGTCTGAAGCAAACATGGATCAAGAAACTGTGGGCAATGTTGTCCTGCTGGCCATCATCACCCTCATCAGCGTGGTCCAGAACGGTAAGGGAAGCCCTCACACAGGGAGGAACAGAGGGTCGATTTTGTTTGAAAGTCAGGCTTAGACAGGCGTGTGCATGCGTGTGGGTGTATACGTACACTTTCATCTTATTTCTGTTTGTTTTCTTTTATTTGAATGTACAGGGGCATGTGTATTTCTGTGTGAATTTGGGGTCTTTCTCCTTCTGCACTTTCTCTCACTTTAGTGGTGATGACTAGTCACATTTGCAGAGCCAGGGCAGCAACCTGAAGGCTTTTGCAAAAACTCTCACCAAAGCATCTGCAATCAGCATTTTAACTATTAATTAACACGGCCAGGGAAGGGAAGGAGGGCAAGGAGCCCCGAAAGGAAGCGTGAGATACCCGTTCACTCAGACACTGGCCGTTCCCAACTTCTCTGTAGTGTAACTGAGGGTACCTGCCATCTGTAGGCTGAACTAAAGTGAATTTGGGAGGGGTGAAGGGTAAATCATCCTATGGTTATTTTACCTCTGTATTGCTCTCTTCTTTTGAAGAAACACACTTTTGTGAGGGTACCTGCCATCTGTAGGCTGAACTAAAGTGAATTTGGGAGGGGTGAAGGGGAAATCATCCTATGGTTATTTTACCTCTGTATTGCTCTCTTCTTTTGAAGAAACACACTTTTGTAATACCTTCTTTTTCTCTAGCAATATATAAATTTTGATGCATTCTTCATATGCAATATATACTTAGAGAGAGAAAGAAAGAGAGAGAGGAAAGTTTTCTTGTTTGGGGTTTGTATTTCCATTAACCCTGCTGTCAGTTAAAAAAGCAAGCAGGATACCCAGATCTAAGAAAGGCAGGGCTGTGCAGAACTGTCTCCTTAAAGTTCTGAGTTGGGACTGCCTCGGACTATTTTTATAAGTATCTCCAGTGGCTTTGTGCTTTATAGTTTATTAAGAAAGAGAAAAAAGGAGAGTAATTACTAAGGGCAGCTGCTATAGCTTAATGGTAATTACTGAACATTGACACACTGTCATCCTTTGGAACTTTAAGTATTTAATCACTGGGGATATTCTGATACTTGTCCCCATCTTGAGTGTGGACAGATGCTAGGGATTAACCTTCTGGGCACAGAGCAAGTTTTCCGCACCATAGAAACCCGACTTTGCACACTCCAAGTGTGTTTCCTATATGAACCAACACTTTGTAGCTTTCTGATCCAAACAATTTCATAATAAACCACACACAACAGAGTTGCAGCTCAGAGAAGGAACAAATAACTTATTTAGGCCTCCATTTCCTCAAGCCATTGCCATTTCTTGCAGCCTCCCTTGGCCCTGCAAATTGGCAAGGGATTCATTTATTCAACCTGTATACATCTGCAGAGACCCCGCTCTGCGCCAGGCAGTATCCTAGGTATATGGGGATATAGCAGGAAACGAGACCTCCCAGTCTCTGTGAAGGCAGTTGCATGTGAGTGGGTGGGCAGTGCTTGTTCAAAGGGTGCCTCCTCTGGTCCTTCCCCCATACCCAGTGGACAGGGGACCCGTGCCCTCTCATCTGCCTCTGTAGTTGGGGCTGAGCTCAGCTAGGAAGTTCAAATTCACCTTCTCCTGTTCCCTGTCAGTTCAGAATGGAGTGGGGGGACCTACGGGTTCTCTTTTGTGAGAACAGAGACCTGAGATGCAGCAGGGACCCTGCCCTGGTCTGTCCAGTGGGTCCTGGGCTTATCCACAGCAGTCTATCAAACTCAGACCAGACTTGAGGTGAATGGTATTAGCCGGAGTCAACTGCAAGGCTCACACATCACTGCCTCTGTCCCTCCCCAGCCCTACAAGCCAGCCAGGGCAATATGTCATCAGAGCAATCTTGCACAGAGCTGTCTCACCTGTGCTCAGTGGGATGATGAGTTTCTGGTGCCCCTTCAAAGACACAGAAAGGCTCCTCGCACACTTCTCGGTGACATAGGATAAGCCATGCTTTCCTCTTAGGGAGAGACATGAACTTCCCCAGTGATGAGATCACCTGCAAGGCCTTCACGTAACTGTTAAATGTGCCTGTGCAGGACAACAAGGGGAATTCAAATCATTTGAGAGGAAACACCTCTACTTGTTTCTATGTTAGTTTTTTAGGCAAACGCAAAGGTCAAGATGTATGTCTGAGCCTCTCTTTGCAATTCTAATTAACCTCAGTGTTGCACCTGTAGGCCTACTTTATAGAATTTTTTAAAAAATATGCAAAAACCATGCTTTTCTCTCTCCCCACACAATGCCGTTCTGAGCCCTTCCTGTTTCCCTGTTGTTAACAGGTACTGCAGGCGTTGCCCGTGTCCCAGGACAACGGGGCACAGTTCCACATGCGTCCATGACAGCATCGGGCTCTGTGCTCCTGCACGCTCTGTGAGCCTGATCTTCTGAGGATGGGCACAGCCCAGCCTGCCTGGTGCAACTTCCTCCTCTGCCTTTCAAACATTCTTTAGTCATCAAGATCTTGAACTTGTGCCCCTCTTCCAGCTTGACCCAGCAGAATGCCGATTAAGAAAGATAGAACAAGTTTAAAACACCCTGTTTTAAGAAACCTGGACCAGAACTGGTTTGCCCTGGAGCGTAGATAGATGCATTTCCCATGAATAGCAGGCAGGGAGCCTCCAGCTTCTCCTGCCAAGGTGCCAGCTGCTTTGACATGAAGCATACCTGGGAAACACATATTTGGAGAAAGTGATTTTCACAGGAAACCAAACTACACTAATGAGATTGGCAGGAGAAGGCAAGCGAGGGGAGGGGCTCAGGGCCACTGAGCTGCACACAGTGGGGGCACAGGAAGGATGTCCCCAGCAGGAGCACCACTCCTGCCACCATCTGGTGGTAGGGAAGGTGGCAGGAGTCGGCATCACCCTCTCTCCTCCAGGAGAGGTGGCCTCCAAGTTTTTTCTTATTGTGAATCCAAGAAGGGGGACACGATGGCCCTGCAGTCTCAAGAGCTTATGAGCACGTGCTAAGCAGGGGACTGGAGCCACCACCCCTGCTGTTCCTACTCCAGCACATGCAGTCACAAGGAAGCTCACGGACACCATATTGGAAGCCATAGCAACCCAACCTGGGGTTTGATGGGCTCTAGAAACAGAGGCAGAGACTCATGAAGTTCCCCCAATGCAGGCATCTTCTTTACAGCACCCCCAATCGCCTCCCACCGGACACTGCAGTGGTGGGGAACTCACACCTGCTGGGTGTGCCCTTCCCACTGGAAGGCTTATTGAGAGCTTGCTCGTGTCGAGCACAGTGCTCCATGCTATGCACGGCATTATCTCATTTAATCCTCATACCCTATGAAATACATACTATTATTCATTCCCATTTTACAGATAAGCAAAGTGAGGCATGGAGAGGTTAGATAGGTTGAAAGTCCCAGAGCCAGGAGTGGTGAAACTGGGATTCAAACCTGAACATCTGACTCTAGAGATTAGACACTTGCACCCCGTATACTGCCTCAAGCTCATTTATTCAGGCACTCACTACTCAGGAAGTTCTTTTTTATGATGAGCTCAAATCTGTTGCTCTGTGTCTCTATTTAGTGGTCCTGGTGCAGTTTCTGGAAAAGCTTAGACTGTGCCTGCTGCTTCTATGTTTACAACATCAGCTGTAACATCCTTTCGTCAACATGTCATATCTCATATGACTTGGTTTCCAGAGTCTCTTGCCATTGGGTCTCCTCTCCTCTTCCTGTGTTCTTTCTAAAATGCAGATAGGTGCCTCTGTACAGGGAAACTATATCCAAGACCCAGACACTAATCCTATTAAAATAATCTGTGTGTGAGTTATTCTTTTAAGGACTTGTATCACAGTGCTGGCGCATATTAACTCTGTAGTTAACTAAAATCTCAAGATCTTTTTATGCGATTTTGAGAAAATTGTTCAACTTATCTGACGCTCGCTTTCCTCAAGTGAGACATGGAGTTATTAATAACTTCCATATGTGGTCGCTGACAGTATTGCATGAGATAACACAGGCAAAGTAGCGAGCACTGCCCAGCACGTGGTGGGTTCTCAGTAACTGTGTGCAGCCATCTCTGTCTGACTGTCTCTCTAGCTCTCTCTCACCAGATTTGGCTTAATGTTAGCAGCCGACTGAAGTAAGTGCATTAGTGGGCTTTGCATGCACAGTTTCTCTAACACACTGGAGGGCTACAAGGGGTTGCAGAGTGAGTGAATGCTAAGGACCAGGCAAAGGAGCCAACTCTTTCACGTTTAGCTTAGAAGGAAGGAGAAGTAGACTCTAGTGGAATATTGGGCTGAGGCAGCTTGTTTTCATTTTGTTTAAGGGTAGGACAGATCTGCAGGTGTTTCTAGGATAAAGACAAGGAGAAAAGAAGAGACAAGGTTCTGGAGGTGGGAGAAGTAGCGATGAAGTAAGGACCTGAAGAGAGTGGCGGGGACAGGGTCAAGATCACAGGTGGAGGGCTTAGCCTTGAAAAAGAGGAAGGAGGATGGAGAGGAGGAAGAGAGGCAGATGCAGGGAACTCCAGCCAAGCTGTGCCGCTGGTTGCAAAAATAACCTCTGACTCTTGCAACCTTAGCCCTGTTTATGTGTTCAGAGGCAAGGCACGCAATCTCAAGTTCTGGAAAGAAAATGATCAGAATTTTCTATCATACTCTGTGGTAAGAAGAGACCCTCAGAATGGACAGACGTGTTCTGCACTGTGTGGATGATGGAATCTGCAGGGAGTGTCAGTGTGACGGCCAGATCAGAAAGACATCCCCTGTGCCCAGCCAGATCTGCATTCCCTGCAAAGACTCCGTGCAAAGCTCCATAAGGGAATAGATGTTAGATGCCTACCCGAGTGCCTGGAGTGTGGTAGATTCCTCCTTCATATGAGCTAGCTCTATGGATATGCTCAAAATGGGCACGTTTCCTATAAGAGTATATTTTTGCCAAAAAGAAAAACCTGAAGGGCTTTTATTCATAAACACAGTTCATAGGGCCCCCTTTCAGGTCTTTTTGAGCAGGTAATATGAAGCTGATGGAAAGGACCCCTGTGGGTGCATCCCTGACCATCACATTGTCCCCTTTTCACTCTTGAAGTAGGAGCAAAGGAGTAAAATAAGAGTGTGGTGGGGGAGAGAGAGACCTTCATCCCCCACCAGCCAGTTATACCTGAGCCCCCAGATTCTGTATGCTCGGCGTCTCTCACAGCCCCCAGCCTTCAGCATAATCAGTTCCTATCTGGTTCCCCCATCCTGGACCTGCCTCCTCTAAGCACCTGCCACACTGAAGACAGAGTGGCTTTCTGACTATGCCATTCCTCTGCTTAAACCTGTCAATAACTCCTTGTTGCTCTCACATAGAACTAAATCCTGGATTTCTTTCCACACTCTCGTCAAGGTCACATCACACTGCGAAACCCCACGGGCACTTCTCCGTGATAGTCTTCAAGCTCTGGCTCTTTCTCACTGCAGCTCACTCTGTCCACCCACTGAGTACTTCAAGTGGCCCCTTAACCATGCTCTACCTTCCCTTCTGTCCATAGCTCAAGACACTGGGTAATTTTAACTTATGTATTTTGTTTAGTGTGTGTAGTTTGTCTCCTTCTCTGCTGTTTTCTCTGGAACATAAGCTCCTCGGGCTAAGGCTCTCTGTTTTATTATTGCATGTAGTGAAAATAGACACGTGTCGTTGAAAGAACAATTCATCACCTGTCTCTTTGGTCTCATCGGTAGTTCTGCAGGGCCCCACTCCCCAACCCTCTCCACTCCCCTGTTCTAAGCAGGACAAACTGACCCACAGACAGGTCTTGCCTCTGGACCTTTGCATATCCCATTCTGCTTGGGTAGAGAGATCTTCCCTTGTGTCCCCTGCTCCCTCCATCTGCTTGGCTAATTTCTACTTGTTCTTTGGATTTTATCTTAGGTGTCATTTGCTCTAGGAATCCTTCTGTGACCCAGACACTGAGTTAAGCAGCCTCTCTTGACCCTTGATAGCACCGTGTACTCACTCTGTCTCATCTTGGCATGAATGGCTCGGCAGTGCAATTCCTGCTTTACTTGTGTGTCTGTTTCCTTAGACTGTGAGGCCCTGGAAAGTGGGGCTACATCTTACTAACTCCTGCATCCCCAACACCAGATGCAGTGACGAGGATAGAGCAGCTGCTGAACACATTTTTGTTAAATGACATTTGATGGAAGACATCCAGGGATGATCAGGTCAAGTCAAGGAAGCATTTAAACATTCTAGTGAGACGATAAATAACAGGCTCCTGAACGTGCCTGTTGTAAACCAGATCCAAACTTTTTTTCCCGGCAGGATTCTTCGCTCACAAGGTGGAACACGAAAGCAAGACTCACAATGGGCGGAGCTTCCAGAGGATGGGAACACTTGCCAGGGAGCGGGTCTACACTGCCAAGTGAGTCCAAACCCTGACGCTGCTGACTAATAGAGTGAGGGCACGGGGACCTCTTTACAGGAGTGATGACCTCCTTCGAGGACACGTAGCTGTCTGGGCCAACCCTAAGAGTGCCAGAGAGGCCGGTTTCCCAGGAAGGTTGAACTTCACCTGGGAGGCTTTGTTGACATCCTGCATCTAAGCAAGTGCTAGTGTGAAAAGAAAGAGAGTGGGGATATCACGGATGGGTAGCAGTGTGATCGTCATGGCGCCAGAGACATCCGATTGAGTCTGTCGAGACATCTGATCGAGTTGAGAGTTGACCACCTTCCTCTGGGGTTAGCCTGGAGGTACTACAGTGAAAATCAGCTGTGACTCACCAGCTGGCTTCAGCAGCAACAGGCCAGGCACTGGCAACAGCCTTGAACTCAACCCCCTCGATTTCCCTGGTGGAAGCCTGGAGGTGACGCCGGTGCATTTCACAAGGCCGGGTCTCCTTGAGCCATCAGGACAAGAACAGAGAGAAAGGGGGCATTAAGCAATTGCTTTTCTCCTCTCTCATTCTTTACTTTTGAGTAAGAAAGCTGTTTGGAAACACCTGAACAGCTCGGTGAAGATGAGGGCAAGCTATCTGGGATGCACATCAGAATGGATGCTATTCAGACACTCACTTCTCCTTGATGCACAAGGTATCTAAACAGAGGGCTTGGCCGGCAGCTGCTGACCTGCTTCTCTGCGCCTGGCAGGAAGCAGACTCCACATCGTGAACCTAACAAAGGGGCTGGCCTGAAGCTCCCGCCCAGAGCCAACTTTGATGTCCTCAGAGATCTCGCACCCAGAACAAATACGTTTAGAACAGCAAGACCAGTACAGCCAAGTCAGGGACGAGGACTCACCCTGAAGGGTCGGGGGGCTCTGGGCCCCCTTCTGGGAGGAGGGTCCCATTCAGGGGCACCTCTCACTTCCTGTGAATTAAACTGACTTCAGGGGATCTATCTCAGCTGGACAGGCCTACATCACGCTCACCAACGTGCTTTCTCTCCAGTCCTTGACCTTATTTAGGGGTTTTTATTTTTTCAGTGAGGTGTGGCTGAGGGATTAGAGGGGAATCTTCTTCATTGTAATTTCTTGTCATTGGCCCCTTTGCTTCCTCAGCTTCTAAGTTGCTGCACACACTGACCAGACCACTCAGTGACACATGGTAGGGCTGTCACAGGCTGATCTCCTGGCCCCCACCCTCTCTGGGCCCTCTGCCTTTACAGGGTCTCTGTGGTGGGCCATCCCCACCCCACCCCCACCTGCTCTGGGCCCCTCTCCTTCGTAGCCAGCACTTCTGGCCAGGTTATCCAGCAGTGTGATCTCCAGGAAATCCTTTGCTTACCGGGAGATTTCTATTTTAACATCTGGGCCTTAGGTGTGTTAATCTCAGAATCCATTTAAGAAGTTTAAAGATGTGATTTAAAACATTTTAGACCCATTTGAAGGAGGGCAGAGAAAATATGCAGGCTGCTGTCCACCTCTCTGTGCTGTTCGCAGGGGGAGATGTAAGAGTGTCCCTTGGATGCATCCACAGGCACCAGGGGCAAAGAAGTCATCTGCAGCAGAGGCGAGGTCAAAACCTCTCCCTGATGGAATCTAAAGAGAGCATTACTACCGTTCTACCAGTTTGGGAAGAGAACCTTCCTTTGGCTCAGATCCCTACATTCCCACTGGTTACACTGTGTTCCTATGGACTCCTCAGCTTGTCCATTTTGGAGAAACAAGTTGCAGCAGAATTTCAGCGTACCGGGGTAGAAGTTGTTTCTGTTTTGCCTGCAATGAGGAAGAAATGGAGCCAGCCAGTTTCTGCACTTCCCTGAAGGAGTGAGACAGCCCTGTTCTCTGTCTCTAGGAAGCCACGGTGATCACACCCGGCCTGCTGGGCACCAGCCTCCAAATTGCAGAAGTGCTGTTTGGTTGGTGGTTGTCCTATGTCATTTGGGAGGGTGGTTTGGAAATTCTGCAACTGTGTAGGGTTCCAGAGGTGAGAAGGCACAAGAGGGGGGTGGTGAGTGATCGTTGCTGCTTGGGGTCCCCACTCTGTGGGTGCTGCTGCCCAGCTCTCCAAACCCGCACGTCTTTACCCCTTACCCTCCCTGAAAGGGGGAGGGGAAGAATGAGGGAGAGGAAAGAGAGTTGGGGAGAGGTAGAAACTAAGGCGAGAGAGAGGAACATTTTCTGTAGGATAAAGGTTGCTCAGATGTTGCTGTGGTTCTGTTACAAAAACACTTCTTCTCTGGCCCAATGGCCTGTGTGTGTTGTAAAAAGGGGCTGAAGACCAACGCAGCAGGAGATGCGTGCTGGCAAGGGCCAGAGGCACTCGGTCTGTTTGCACCTGCCGGGAAACTACTGGGAAGTGGGGAATGTGTTACTCTAGTAGAAAGTTGTCCCCAGCGATGGCTTCTGAAGGGTCCCCCAAAAGCACCAAAAAGGGGTGCAAAATGACCATGGGGTTCAGAAAGAAAAGAACATGCGTTTAATCTTGCTATCTAAAAAGTAAGAAGTGAAACTCTACTCATTTTTAATGTACAGATTGATAGTAGTACATGTATATAATATGTACCTAAATATACCTGCCACAGGGTTGCATGATCACAACTTTTAGTTGATGGGGTGTGGGATCATAAATATTTAGAGACTGTGGCTATAAAGGAAAAATTGCATAAACGATAAATGATACTGGTGGATTGAAAACTCTGATGCATATTTTTCAGCATAAAATA